CAATGTCAAATTGCTATAAAAATTTCTAAACACACGTTTCCGTTTTCTGGATTTGTCTTGTCCTAGAGCAGTAACAAGCAATTCAAAGACCACAGCTGGTCCACAGACAGCGCTTTGAGTAGCACCAGTCTAATCAAGGGCTAGAAAAAAGAAACTTCTCTGAAATCAGAAAATGAGGTGGGTGTAAAGATCAAAATTCTGGAGCCCCTTGCAACCTGTGGCAGATGGAGACATGGAATTAGGAAAAAACTCACAGAGAGTACATGGGCAGAAACAGAAGCAGGCTGAGGGTGGAATGTCAGTGAGCACTGTAATGAGGCCAACAGCGAGCAGACAGTTGAGGGAAATAGGAAGCGAAGGTAGGAAGAGAGAAGCTAGATGACAGAGAAGCATAGGTTCTGTGCAGCCCACCATTTAAGTGAATTGAGTTGAGTACCTTGCCCTGAATGCCAAAAGGAGGCACTTAGCTCAGTGTACTCTGCTGATTAAGGCAGGCTGCTATGGACTAAATGCTTGTGTACCCCTAAATTTACACATTGAAATCCTATCCCCAAAATGATGTTCTGAGTAGGTAAGGCCTTTGGAGGTGATTAGGTCATGGGAGTGGAGCCCTCATGAATGAGATTAGTGCCCTCATAAAGAGACCCTCACAGAGCATCTTGATCCCCTCCCCTTTCTGCCACGTGAAGACAGCGAGGACATGGCCGTCTATGGTAAACCAAGAAGCTGACTCTCACCAGACATGGAATCTGCCATCACCTTGATCTTGGACTTTCAAGCCAACAAATATCTGTTATTCATGAGTCACCCAGACTATGGTATGTTTATGACGACAGCTCAAACTAAAACACGAGCATATAAATGTGTTACATGTTTTACAATTACATCAAAACAGTTAATGTAAAGGAGTTGGAGTAATTTACTTGAGAAATCCAGTCACTAAATACACTGCCTTACTCAATGACACAGACAACTGTGTGAAGCATCACTGACATAAAGAACTCTCTACAGTGATGGAAAAAAATTTTTTTAACTTGTGCCATCTACTAGGATTTAGCCACCCACATGTAACTATTGAGTACATGAAAAGTGGCTAGTGTGACTGAAAAACTGAAGTCTTCCTCTAATTTAATTTTAATTTATATTTAAAAATAGCCACATGTGGCTAGGGACTATCTGATTAGATAGATGATTCATATGACTCACACATAGGCAAGTGTGGTTTAGAGTAAAAAGACATATAAACTTTGGGGTCACATGGTTCAGCCTTTAATCTTTTAATTACTAAGTCTATGACCTTAGATTGTCATTCATCTTCCCTGGGCCTGAGCTTCTTGTTCATAAAATGGGGGTCATATTTATATTTAGGGCCATTGTGATGACTAAAAATTAGGCATGTAAATTGCCAACGCAGACTAATAAATGATAACTATTACTCAATATTAAATAGGTCAGTATTCATGAACATAATTCAATTGTTTTGATTCTTCTAATCATCACCATCCATTAACATGTAATAAGCTATGAAATATGCAATAAGAGATAACCTTTGGGGCTGTAATCTCTAGTGGAGTAGCCTCTGGATGGCTTACCATAGTAACTTACAATGTTTTTCTAGTTAGTGATGCTCTTATCTCAGCCTTGCTCTGTGCTGTCCTTTCTCAGTGTAATTGTTTCTGGCAAAGGCTCCCCCTTCTATGGAGCATTACTCAATGCTCTTTCTATAACCTTGGGAAGAAGAGAAGGCTGTTCAGGGAAATGACACACTGAGCTGATTCAATCACTAGCTTTAATTTCAAATACAATTTTAAGTCAGTGGTGTCTGGTCAGAAGGTTTATCAAGTCTTTTTCTGTGGAATTAAGAGCACACATTCACAGACCTTATTGACCTTTACCTGGCTAAGCATCACAATATCTGGAGGAAACTTGAAAACAAATGCAACTCTATCCCTCCTCTCCTTACCCCACAGACCTGGCATTGTTAGAAGCACTCCAATGCTACCAAAATCTGTCACAGAATTTTGAGACCCATTAAAACAAAGTTTAATGAGAAAAAGAAAAAAAGAAGAAGAAGCACTCCAAGCAATTCCATTTCATGGCTTGAAAAACACTGGCGAATACCACTGGTGAATGCCATGTTTCCAAAGTGAGCTCCAGATAGGTGTGGTTGTTTGAACCCAGATTAACTGAGAGACTGTTAGGTGAGGAAATGGCATAGACATTACACAGATCCAGCATGTGGACATTGGGGAACTCTGGATATTTGACTAAAATTTTCCCTGGGGAATCATTGTCAGTCACTTGAACAAGTGTCACTCAGAGCTGGGCTTAGATTCCAGAACTAATTTTTCTTTACTTGTCCTCCTAAGCCACCATGTCATGTTTCTGGAGATGGTTCACCTCCTTATGCTGTTCTTTGTGAGGCTCAAACTTGTTTATAATATTCAGGCTCCAGCAGAAGTAACGCCTGCTTGAGTGTGTGTAATAATTTAGTTTTAATTTGAACATTTCACCTAAAATGTCATGTGGTGTGCCTGAGTGTGATATTATGTTACAGAATTACATGCTTACAATTTTATAATAAAACAGGGGCATTATTTGTGTTGGGTCCTGTATTATTATTCAGCTCATGGGCTTTTTTTGTACAGGAAATTTGACACAGCTAGGTGCATACTTGTCTGAAAAAAGACTAGTGAAAACTCTGAACTGGTATCCTAATTTCCCATAAGAAACCACGCCTACAGTCTGATGCTCAGAGCAATGCCCTTATGTCCGTCTGTCAGGCCCACCCCCATGACACTGACACTCCCAATGTTCACAGTGATGGTGAGTGTGGTTAAGCAACATACTCAGTAGTGTATGGATGCTTGTTAGAGAACTGGTCAGTGTTACACACTTTTAGAGACAAAACTGTCTGTGAAACAAAAGAATTTCAGGCATAGGCCAATGGCTTGCTTCTGAATAATACTCAACACAACAAAATTCCAGCACAACAAACCAATTTCAACAATTCCTGAGAGTCTGTAGCAGGTCATATAATTTTCAGCTCAAAGAAGAGGAATTGTCCTGTATCAGCAAATATTGGAGATTCTGAAGGCACGTTTGGAGTATTTGATAAGATTAAAAATTTACTGAGATGTTCTGGTTTAGACATTTTATTGCTCTCTTCAGTTCTCTAACCACATCTTTTATTAATTTTGGGTTTTGGCGAAGGCAATATGAAAATGTTAACTCTACACTGGGCAGTAGTAATACTCTAAATGAGAACCTTAATCCTATTAAAAGTTAGGGCTTCCTACTAAGTGACCTCCTTGGCATATACTTTATCATGAAGAGGTAATTTAAATGATAAAGAAGGTAGAAGTCATTTCTGATTTTCAGAGCATAGCTCTTATGGGAATCTTTCCTGGCTTTATAAGTGAGTATTTTGGAAAGAAACGTAACTCAGAATAGCATAAGCTAGAAAGACAATTTACTGGTGCATTTCCTCAGAAGTCCAGGGGTTCTGACTGGTTTCAGAGACAGCTGCCTGGAGGGGCTCATTAATGTCATCAGGGCTCCATCTGTCTCTATTGCTCACTTGGCTTTCCTCTCTAGGAGGCTACCTCCAGCTGCTGCAAGCTTACAGGGCAAGGTCTCAGAAGCCACCATATCAGTTCAGAAAGAGAACCCCCATTTTCCCTCACTTCCTTTGTGCCCAGGACCTGAGATGCTCTCTAATTGGCAAGCCTGAGTCACATGTCACTGCAAGGCAGAGGTTTGTCACATGCAATAGGAGGGAGCAATTTCCAAAGGAAGAGGTTGGGGCAAAGAATTTTGAAAAAAAAAGTCTACTTTAGAGTAAGAGAAGTTGGTTGCATTTGCTATGAAATGATAAGAAACAACTTCATTCTGCTGTTAACATGACTTGTTGGAGTTAGTGGAGACCACAACATAATTTGTGATCACATGGAATGCGTTAGTATGCCACAGGGAGGTTCCATTTGAAACCCAGTATCAACATCACTTTCTCACAATGGTTGTCTTGTAGATAGACACAAATCTATTACGGAAGTCTGATTTTAGTTCTTTGATAATTTCTGATCCAGAATGAAACAACAGCCATACAATTTGGATATAGATGATCTTTCTGAGAAAATAGGATGAATGCAATTGCATTTTGAATGTACTAAAGGTATAAAAGAAATTTTTGCTAAATATTTTAGAGAAGCAATTGTGCTGTGAGTTCCTTTCATTCAACCATTTTGACAAAAATGGATTTCATCTTTTAGAGTTCCCAATTAAAAAAAAAACTATACTAGAATGTATTTACTCCTTCTAAAATAACAAAACCATCTAAAAACCAACCAACTCATTAAGCAATTCTAAAGGAAAATTATTAGCAAACCATACATTATGAGACGGATAATGACGCACTCTAAAACATTAATTTTGAAACATCGGCTAGCTTATACTCTAGGGGCAGCATATCCATCCTGTCTGAGACTTTTTTCTATATTCTTTACTAGAGTTTAAAAATGTCTTCAGAAATTAAATCTACAAATATTAAGACGGCCCATTTAAGCATATGAAAGTCAGCAGAAAATGTTGTCAGGCGCCAAAGATCATCTGGGTGGCTTGACTACCTGGTGGGGTTATTGCAGTCACAAAACAGGCTTTGGGTCTTGGTGCCATGTGTTCTAATCTCAGGCCTCCCGACAGCTGAAATCCAGTTGAGATTCCTCACTGGCCAGGAGTGAGGGTGAGGATGCTGGAGGGGGTTTGAAAGTGAGCTAGATGGGTGTGGGGGAGGGATTTGGAGGTGGAAATGTAATGGAGGGATTTTGGGGTGGGAGTGAGGGGAAGGGATGTAGATGGGGAAGGGGGCCGGGCTAGAAGTGGGTATACCGGCGGGGGGAGGGGAAATGGGAAGTGGGAGGAGGTAGGGGCGGGATGGAGGCGGGGCGGGGCGCTCCAGGGGCGTGCACTCTGCCAGGGACACACACTTTGGGCCACAGCAACTCGCTTCAAGTTCCCTCCCTCGCTCTCTGGGGAAGCCTGCCTGAGTCCTCCCATTCGGTGCAGACTGAACCCTCGAAGGCCGCCTGCTAGCCAGGGCTCTCCACGGCCTTGCGTCCTGGGCCCGCTGGTCGCTGCTCCGGCAGGTCCACTCTCTGCTCGTGGCCCCGCTGAGGCGGTGACGAGGACTAGGCAGCCCCTGCGACTCCTGCAGCTCCCTCTCGGCCCTCCAGAGGCACCGGCAGCCCAGATCCTGTCTCTCCCTGCCCGACTCCCTCTCCGCCATCCCCGGGAACCTGGCGCTAGGCTCAGCCTACACTGCCCGGGAGAGTAACAGAGGTAAGGCTGGGCGGGTAGCTGGGTGGGGGACAGCGCAGCGCCCCGACTGACTGCGGACAATGCCGAAGCCGCACGCAGCTGGAGAGTAGCCGGGTCCGCCCCTGCAGCACACTACCCAGCCTGGGTCTCCGTCCAACCCAGCCTCAGGGCCGCGTTGGCCCAGATGGACACGGGAAGGCTTTCTGGGCTGTGAGGGTAGGCGCGGTGCCGCTGCCCTCCCTGCGCTCCCTGAGCCCCCTGCATGCGAAGCTTCACATCCCCTGTCTGTCCTCTGGTCTCGACTGGGCAGGGGCCCGGGAACAGTGCCGGGACTAGCTGGAGAGTGGGGGTCGGGCTTGAGGCGCAGGAACGGTGGGCTCCAAAAATGAAAACGAGCCTGCTGGTTACTGCCTGTCTGTCGGGTTGACCAGGGATTGGGACACTGCGCAGCCTTGTCTCCTGGGAAGGTCTCTAACCTTGGGTGCTAAGTACTTTGAGGGTATTAGTGTTTCCTGATGGCTGGCTGGGAGTCCTTGCAATAATGTAGATTCAAAGGCTCTGAAAGTTTGTGTTTGGTTATGCCCACCATCTCTAGCCTTGGTATCAATTGTCTCTACTTTCTTTGAAAGCATACAGATTTGAACTAGAATTTAATTATCCTTGGCTCGCGCGTGCCCCCATCATCCAGAGGAGCTCATAACTTGGCAACAAAGCGTGTGCAGGCTGTAAGGAAGCCCTGCTGCTCGATGCCCAGCCGAGTGCCCTCGGATTGTCGTTAGAACAGGAACTGCACAGTGTGAGTGGCAGTGACAGTTCTCCCTCTCTGTGGGCTTGTGGGGAGGGAGGGAGGCGGAGAGAACTTTGCTGCATGCTTAAATTACTCTGGAAAGTGGAAAGAAAACACCTGGTGCCCGGCTCTTTAACCCTTTCCAGGTATTACTCAGGCTGGGTGACACCAAAATGAGCAGGCTTTCTTTTCTGCCTAAGATGAGGCTGACTCTGGGCTTTTCCTCCCAGCCATGTCCTGTGCAAACTCTGGCACACATCTGTGACAACATTACATGGCTGGCATTGTCAGCACTACAAACACTGTTTCTGAGAAGGGGAATGTGATAGTAGAATAAGCATCTTTGCAGTATAAATTAGTATGACTTCCTTTTTTTTCAGTTCCCTTCTTAACATGGAAGATATTTATTTAGCACACCCCCCTCAATTTACACTCAGAGTCATTCCAAAAGAAATACCTGCATTCATTTGTACTTCATTTGTGATCCCACAACACCTGATTTTCAGATGAACTATTTATTAAGCATAGTTATTTTAACATAAGGGTGAGTCAGCCAACATTCTTTGCCAGCAGGAAATGTCCCATTGATTTACCCTATGGTATTTAACCTATGGTGTCATTATAGGTCATACAATAGTAGAGTCACTATTTGAACAGGGAAGTGGTGATGCTTTATCAACCTGATATTCTGTAAAGGGTTTAGACTAGTGCCCGGAACATCGTGCTGTGTAAGTGTTAGCTAGTTTTATTTTTAATTTTTAAATTTTCATCATCAATTCATGTGTTTTTGTCTGTTTGGAAAATGGATGTTTTTGTTTTTGTGTTTGAAATTCCAGATCTTTTTACATTGTGGTCTATTTGAAGCCTGTGGTTTAATTTTAGACGAGAACTGAGGTTGAGTTGTTGTTTTGCTTATGACTGACAAGCTGTTTTGTGTATTGTTATGCAAGGTGAGTTGATTTAGCAAATCTTGTGCAGTAGAACTGCAAGGGTCAGACCACAGCCCTGAACCGAGTCCTTCAAGGAGACTAATTACCCTTAGGGGCCTAATTTTGTAAGGAGAAGCCTAGACTTTAGGAGAAACTTGGACTATTGACCTCCCCCAACCCTCTTCTCTAGGTTCAGAATAATACTTCCAATTCTTAGTTTAAAGAGCCCTGTTGACTCAGCAGTTAGGTAATTCCCATGGTGTTAAAAGGTAATAAAAGGTAAACATGTACACTGTATATTCATCAACCAGAGCACGTAATTCTTATTCGTGCTTTAAAATCTTCAGAGCACTATTTATAGCCTAACTAGCTAAGAAAAGAAAAATTAAAACTACCTACTTGCCATGAGTCAGGAACCAAAAGATTATGTTTGTTGCCTAGATATTTTAAAAGATTGTCAGCAGTATGCTTTCATTTTGAGATTTTTTTCCCTCTCTATTTAACTGTGAAGTGACATCTTTTTTATTCCTAAACAGTTTAGTTAGCTAAGCAAAGGCATGGTCTTAACTCTTGGGTCCCTGCAGAAGCGAAGCTGCTGTAAGCCCTGGGCGGCAGTAGGTGGTGCTGTGGGTAGTGCTGGTAGCAGAGGTACGTGTGTGTGCTGGAGAATTGGAGGGATGAGTTTAGCAACCCAATCACTTGCCCTCTCCCCAAATATACTCTCATCCCAAAGACAACATCTAAACTCTTTTTAGGAATAAACTTTCAAAAAGTTTGTTTTTCTGTGTTTTCAACTTGTTAATACTATTTACTTGGCCAATTTTTTCCCTCTGAAAACCATAGTATTCCAGGTGTTAAGACAAAACATTGCTTGTGAAACTATTTAGTCAACTGTGCCCTTATTCTTATTTCCCTACAACAGAGTAAGAGTAATCATTCTGAGCCTAAAAGGATCCCCAGCTAACCTAGACTTGGTGTTTCTTTTTTTTTTCCCACTACTCTTAAGTGGGAGAAACAAGTGATAAGAAACCTACTGGCGTCATGACTAAATTAAATCATTTATTCTGATTTTTATCACTTTTCTGACTCCCCGTATGATGCAATGAGGATTGATATTCAGGTCGAACCTCTGTAAAGCAATGACTCATCCAAGCAAAGTATATTCATTCTATTTAGTTCAGCACTGAGGGTAGAAAGTAAATACACTCAGAACAAGGGTTTTCCGGATTACAATCAGAGTTATCTCTAAAGCAGCACTGGGACTGGCCTAGCCCTGGGCAGTTGACACAATATTCTCTCTACTCCTCTAACACAGAATGGTTGCTGTCGTCTCCTTTCTGCAGCTGAGGTGAAACGACTTGGCGGAATCATGCAGCTAGTAAGTAGCAAAGCTGTAGGTTTCACCAAGTGTGTGTGCTCCTCTGGCACCTGTGGCTCTTTCCACCGTGCCATGTGGAATAATCTATGGTTTGTGCATCCAGGAAGCGTTCACTATATTCTTTCTGGGTTTGATAAAAAACAAATCTCTTCCTCATAACTCAGTGACAAGCTTTGAAATTCCTGGGTAGCATTTGGTCTTAAAAGAGTCCAAAACAGGAGAAATGGAGCTGTTTTTGACTTTCAGAGGAAACCATAAGATTTCCCAACACTGTGTTAAAGATTGCTTATTTTAGGAGTGTTGAGGAAAAGGATAGTGGGTGAAGTTCTTTGAACCATGTATAAAGGCCAGTGCAAATGGCTTAGATTCTGAAGTGATAACATTGGGTCTGTTTTGGCCTTGTTGCTCAGGTGATCTGGCAAAAATCCTACCACTCCTGTATGTCCATGTCTTTTTTCCTTTGGGCGAAACGACATTTATTCATTTTGATCACTTACATACATCAGAGAAGATCTTGATTAATGAAACATTGGCTCAAAACCCCATTCTATATATTTGTTGTTTTTTAAAATTTTACACTTTATCCAGAACCTAATTCATTATTTTTAAATGGCAAACTTTTTGGTGTTCAAAACATTATAGAAATAAAAATAAATAAATAAATTAAAACTAGAGAATTGTTCAGAAGACAGCACAAACTATGTTCAAAATGTTTATCAAAGAAGCTAAAGGGAGCATTGATTCTGAACTTTGATAGGAGAAGGTATGGGATAATTTGCATGGAAAATTGCAGAAAATAGTATTAAGAAATTTAGTAGTTGATTGTTCTTGGATGTCATCAGCCAAGCATTGAATAATGATGACTGAGTTATCAGTAAGGTTTCAACATTGTTGTGGAATACATTTTCATCTTGTTTTTAAACCTGAGTTTTTTTCTGGTTGATCTTTTGTGATAAAAATTAAAAAACTTAAGTCATGCATATTCCTATTTTGATGGTTTTGGTTTTTTCCCTACTTGTGAGAAGGGACTGTGTGTGTTTTTTTTACATTTTTAACATTTTACAGTTTGAGTCTCATAGGAAGATTCACATACACACAGCATTCAAGAACACGAGCCTTGTTTTGGGGGTTGTTTTGTTTTTAGGAAACTCGAGTAGATGAAACAAATTCCTTCCTTTTTTCAGTATGTTTGGTGATAAAAATAGTGAATGTGTGGATGATTCAACAATTTTAAACTGATATTAAAGCTGGGATTTTCAAATTGTAAACACTTAGGGAGAAGTTCAAAAATGAACCCTAAGCAAAAGGAAGCAATGTGTCATTTGGCTGACAGGTTTCCAGAATTATAAGGATACTGTGGTGTGTTTTTTGAATCAGAGCAAGATCACTGTGTTTTGAAATTGTCCAGCTCCAGATAGAGCATTTAAAAATATAATTCAGAACCATATGGAAAATTTTTGAGTAGTTATGTTGTAATGCAAAGCATTTTTACCCTCACACCCCCATTAGAAGTTTGTTTTTAGTAGGAATCACAGATAGGCTTCAGAATAATCATTCTTGCCAGCATTTTTTCTTTCTTTTTTTTTTTTTTGGTCCCATTGGCCAGAACTTAATGGAACTTTATGTGAAAGAATGTTTAGTAGTTTCTTCTATTATGGCTATTATATTAAATATATTTATAGAGGATTCATTATGTGCCAGGTACTAGGGATAAGCAGCGTCTAGGAATGACAAGGTCCCTGCCTCATTGAGGATTTACTATGTAAAGTGGGAGAAATAAAAATGATAATAAAATAAATAAATAAATGGCAAGCTAGTTTAAAGCAGCCATAAGTGTGGTCAAGCATGAGGGTGGCATTCTAATCTGGACTGCGTGGTTAGGGAGGGCCTCATGGAGAATGTTTAAGATAAAACTTAAGTGAAAAGA